TATATGTTGTCTACATATATATATATAACATATATGCTGTGCCCTTAGTGTGACGGGCTGGAGCTGCTGATGTGCCCAGAGCTGCTCCCAGCCCACACCCAAACCCCTCTGGCCCAGGAGCAGCAGGGGCTGGGAAGAGGCTGCAAGAGCCAAGGCAGTGAAACGTGGCTGCTTCCCAACTTCCATCACTCCCAAGGGCCCCACAGCTGCCTGCCAGCCCTGCCACATGGCCAGACCATCCAGGACACGATAGGACGGGACTGTCGGCTTCCCAGGAATAAGCAGCATGGATCAGAGACGTTATCCCACTGAGCCACAAAGACTCTGCAGGCTCGTTTAAGTAATATTGCTTTTGACTATTCACATTTCAAACAGCTGGATCTCATCTTCTAAAGAACCACTGAACTACAACATCTCTTGGTTCAGTGGGAGAGCATTTCTTTAGACCAAGTGGAGAAAATAGTCACTTGTAATAAAGAATCCTGTCCTGCACTTACATCACATTCCAGGTACTTTGTTTTTATCTAATTAGAAAAATAAACATAACATAAGCATACAAGAGATCATGCCAATATTGGGAGCAATACAATACCAAGTGCCAACTAAGGCACTTCCTCTAGCAAAATAATGAAATATAGACAACCAGCACTTCCATACACTACTAGACACTCTATTTGTGCCATTCATACTTAACATGAAGTGCCATTTTACAACTTATGACACTAATATCTAGAGAAAATTTGTGATCCTGCCACCTTAAGCTAGAGAAGGTAAGTGGTTTTTAAGAGGAGGTTGTTAGGATTTGGTGGTTAAACTCTAAAAATAATATTTAAGATGAGTGGCACTGAGATGCTAACCTTGCTCCTTCCCTGCTATGTGGCTTGAATTCATTTGTTCTCTACATTATTTTTGGCCTTTTTAAGTAAGAATTTCCCAGCAATGAAATTGTTCCTCACTGGTGTCTTTACCTCATGTAGGTGTCCTAGAGCTTCTGTCTTTTATAGCAGCCACAGCTATGATAAGCAATTCAAATTAAGGATTCACCCAGTAGCATACAATAACAGTGGCTGGTGTATCTCTTAGGATCTTTTGTGTAATTTTAGAGTGAATAATAATTTTGGAATGTTAAGCTAAAAGACATGAAAAAAAGACTATAACAAAGGAGGAGGAAAAAAAAAGATAACCATGAACATAAGGTTATTTACACCAGCAGTTAAATAAATTATTCAGTGCTGTTGATAACTAAATAAATATAATGTTAAGCAGAAGCAAGTATAAAACTGCTACATAATGCATCCCATAAAATGCTTGGCATTTAAGCTCTAATTGTGCTTTTCCTCAAAACTGTGTGGGAGACCAGTTTTGACTTCTAAGCTAATGGAGGTTTTTACCTCTGGCGCCAATAAATGCATACTTTAAGGTCTTTCATGGTCCCAGTTATTGGGGCAAACAAAAGCCAAACAAAATGCACTCAAGAAACATTGGCTCTCTGAATACTAACGCTTGTGGATTACTACCTTCAGCCACTTTCAGTGCATCAGTAGAACAAAACACTGAGAAAGAACTTCATCTTATTATTTCAGAGCTAGCAATCACTGGAAAGACACCTAGTGAGTTTGTACTGGATCTAGGACGTGCAATGAGCTCAAAGACAATACAGGAATTATTCTAAAAAATATGCAGCTCCCTAAAGGGGAAAAAAAAACACACCGGAGGAGGCAGCAAGAGCAGCAGTGAGGCTGGCAGAGCATCTCCCCCCAGCCCAGGCCTCATTCCAAGGACACATCGAGAGGAGATGCCCAGCACTGGAATTCCTACCCAGCATCTTTCCTCTACCCCTGCACACACAGAGCTGCCCGGAGCACCCTGACAGTCACAAGTCAGCAGTATTCAGACCTCTGACAACCAGATCTGCAGCTTCTGGCTTCCCTCACAAACAAGTAAATAGGAATTCACTGTTACATAAGCATCGTAAAAACCCCATGTTTAATACACACACAATGCACTAGTTTTTTGACAATTAACTTGAAAAGATGAAGCATTTGTTGCTATAAATACATTTCATTTGGTTACTTGAGCAGTTGTCCTCTGTGATTTTCGTTTCTTCAAACACAAACGCTCTTCCTTCCAGTGGAAGGTCACAGGGAGGGCAAACACATTTTGCCTCTCCCATTAACTACTGATGTTTTCTTTTCACTAAAGGCAAACGATAACATTTGATCACCATTATTTTTTCTAAATAATATTACTATTTAACTCCTTAGGAAAAGGCACCAAACTTGCTTTCTAAGCATTTGGGGAGGAAAAAAAAAAAATCCAAATCTAGTTGCTGAAAGTGGTCACTGTTCAACTTCATTACAAACTCAGGTGGCATTAGAAGTACAGAAGAGCCTCATAGCTCAATGTGTCATTTCTGCACCAGGCAAAACTGGGAAAGTTTCTGACCTCCTGCCAGCAGGACTCCACCATGGAGGAAGTCGGAGCCTACAGCTGTGCGCTCCCATATGGCTCTTTCTGAAGTACCTCTTATATATTCATTTTTGCAGTTTTGTTTGCTGCTTTTTGCAGGAAGAGCAAGAATTTCAGGAGTTAAGGAAGTTGTATCACAAGAGGGAGTTTTACTTACTAAAATCTACCGCCTTCACATCAGTTAGCTTCATCTAGAAGAAGGCAGCCTTTCACTCCCCAGACACAGAAGCTCTCACGCATCGGCCAACTGTTGCAGCATTTCACCTGGTTGTCTGGATTATATTGCCAAAAATAAGAGAGGCAAACAGCAACGCAACCCATATGGACAGGAGCCAATTGACTAGCGTGCTTGTTTTGCTTGGGTCTTTAGAAATGAAATAGGCAGATACGCTTTCAGTAGTCAGGAATCAAACACTAGAACAAAGAGTCCAAGTTAGATAAGTCAACAAAATATATCAAGAGAATCTAAGTCCCTGGCCGTGAATTCCAGTGGAGCTCATGTCTGGAAAATTGGACTCCAGGGCCCAAAGGGATTAAACTTTTCTTATTTAGTTTCCTGTTGCAGATTTGGAAGGTTGTGTTGTTAGGTCTCTCCCTCATTTTCTTCCTTCCTCCCTGAGCTGGATAGCAGCTCAGGAAAGAATTTTGAAAATATGTACTAATTACCCAGTAGCCTGAAAGAGCTCCTTTCAGCTTTTACTATAAAGAAAGCACAGATAGAGCAATGGACATTATTCACTATCATAAAGGAAATTATAATCTCTAATGAGTCAAGATACACAAGTATCTCTAAAATGGTATTTTAGGTGCCTAAGAACAACCACAATATATAATGAGTAACCAATTCTGTCACGGTATTGTCATTGAATATTATTTCACAGCATTAGACGCCTGTTAACAAATATTCCCACTAAAAACAAACAAAAGAAGTGAATACTTGCATATGGGAAGGCTATTTACTAACAAAGACTTGATAACAACATCTTTCTGGGACACAGGCCATTGTTTTGGGAAACTAGCAATCTCAAATCCAAACTGCAAATTATAATGACTGCTGGCATCCCATCAAAGTGAAGTCTCTGTTTGCAAGCATAACTATTTTGGTTTTGTCTATTGGATTATCAAAGCACTAGAGCGCTGGATCCTCTACAAAAATAGCTAATCGGAAAAAACATGACAACTTTCAGAATGACAAGCCAAAAAAAAAAAAAAAAAAAGGAGAATTGAGGTTCATGCTTTTTAAAAAGCTTCTATTATAATATCTGGATTTCTTAGGTACTAAGAAAACCTGTTTTTGGAAGTTTTATTTGACTGCTAAAAATTCTATCTAGTCCTTTTAGCATGCAAAAGCAGGAAAAAAATAGACTATCAAAATAGAAGTTTCTATACGGACTTCATTTAGCTCTCACCTAAAGCAAAGGAAACTCTTCACTAACTTCATTACATCCTGAATGCAGCTCTAAATGAATGCAAGTTGGCACTTGCTGTCGGCCACAAATGAAAATTCATAGTAAAAATAATAAATTCCTACAAGATGATTCACATGCATATTTGCATTCACTTAACTAAAGTATTATTTTTAAGCCAAGTTCAGGCAGAGGCAACACACATTATTGCACCCACCAGCTCCCTAACACAGGGGTAGTTCATTCTGTGCTGAGCAAAACTTCAATCGGCTGCCTAGAGAGCAAAGTCCTTCACCAGGGATACTAAAAACCAGCTCTAATCCTCAAGCTACCTTGCTAATTGGAAAACACATGTTGTCCATGTGTTGTGTTCATAACAATGTGTGAAGATTACCACACATTGACATAAATAAAGACTCTGTGCCATGCTCATAGCTTGTAGTTTTTAAGGGAAGACTTAACAGCTCCCTTACCTGCAGAGAATAAAATAGCCACAAAATATCCTGTCTTGGGACTGGGAGGTCCTCAAGAGCAGAGTTCTAGGCCTCAACACTGTATAGTAACTTAATCTAAGCAGACCCATATAATATAAGATTTGCAGCATTTCATTCCGGAAAGCAGCAAAATATAACCAAGCCTGCTACTTAGCTAAACGTAATATTCCTTATGGGTGAAGCCAATAAGCAGAAGAAGGAAAAAAGAGCAAATAAGGGAGCACTTTTACAAGCTAGTTTGCTGCCATTACACAACACATTGCTTTATCATTACAGAGCATGGTAGGGGCACAGTTATATTGCTTCTATTTTAGGCACTACCTTATACATTTTTGGGGGCCCACTTTTGTGGCTCACTGAAATCCTTGCCCTTTAAACAGGCTAGGGAAAAAAAACAGGAGGGCACAATGAACCACCATTAACATTTGCTTTTATTTTTTTTTTCCCCTTACAAATACTTCTTGACACTCATGATTTACTGCACCTCTTAGAATTAACAGATTCAATATATGTCTTACCTGTCCCAGTAGTTACTGTTTCCTTACAGGGACCACTTTGCAGGGTAGCGATGAGAAGCAGGGAGCAGAACTGTTGCTCCTAAGACCATCAACATTGTCTTAAAATCACTTACCCCTTTTGGAGTCCATGCTGCTTTGGCTGACAATACAGAAGAACTGCAAGTTTCCACTGCAGCATCCAGAAAGTTCCTTTGGATAATTCAAAGAAAAGTAGGGAATTCTTCAAAGGGAAAATAAAAGACAGCTATCAGCAAAGAAAGAATAAAGCACTCATTCGGATGATTCTGCTTGGCAAGCAGCTTCATGCTATTGTTAGCAAAGAGCCCTTTACAAAGGAAGAGCAAATGGCAGCTAGAAGGAACACAGGCCAAGCAATAGTGGTTAGAGAAGGAGAAGGAAAGAAAAGGCGGAAAGAAAGAAAAAGGGGGTGAGGAAAAAAATGATGGTGGATTCCTTCCTATTTGCACCTTTCCTATTCCCAAGGGGGGGGNGGGGGGGGGGGGGGGGGGCAGAACCCCTGGGAAAGCCCACACTTATATCCCCTACACAGCTGCACCAAGTTTGTCTGTACTTAGGTAACTAATTAATGCATATGTATTGCAAAATCACTTTTTCCTACCCTAACTTGTGATTATTTGAATCCTGAAATAAAAGCTTTTTTAAAAGTTTTCCTTACCAACAAGCATGATAAGAAATAGGGTTGTATGAAAATAACTGAATTTATTTTCTGTTTGCTAATTCTTCCCTTAGCTGGTCGAACACCCAAGCTGTGGCAACACTACTTAGCTTGGGCAGTTGAAAAATGTGATTTGCATGACCTAGAATGAGCAAATACTCAATGGACTGAGTGGTCCAATGTAAAATCCATGTGAAATACATGAGTACTTGGCAATGTATACTGATACTTAAACATCTACTGAATGTATACTTAACCTAAATATCTACTAACTTCCATTTTGATACAAGATTTTTCTTTAATGAACTATATTACATGATTAAGTTACAGAAACCAAAGGTAATGATGCTTTCACCATTACCTTTACAATCCAGTCTGCAATGAAATATCAAAAATCCCAACACAAATATCACCTGTTCCAACTGCCTGCTCTAATTAATGTTGTAAAAGCATGTCTGCTTGATCAGCTTGTCTAAGGGAACAGTCATCAAATAGTAAATGAATTTATAAGTGAGTGATACAGTTCTTTGACTATAATAGGGCTCTTACTATGTGCTCTCCTGACTTTTCTCACTCAGAGAGATTGCAAAACAGTCCAGGTTTATGTTCAGAAAAACATCTTCAGAGGAGTTAAGAAAAACATCAAAACATCAATAGATTTACAAATAAATTAATTTAGCAACACTGGTAATAAGGTGGCTTTCTTAAGCCAATTATAACTTTAATACAATAAGAACAGCAGATGCTCAATGAATTACCCACAGAATGGGTTTTTCTGCAGTAAGAACCACAAGTTCAAGTTTTCCCAGCTTTTGTAAAAAAAAATTCCTTTTAATACTTTTATTATTATTACACAATGTTACTAAATTCTGGTAGAAGCAATTGGCTGTTTCCCTCATGCCATATAAATTGTTTTCTTAGCCTTTGTCATGTCCCTTTGGCTACCATTTATGGTGAGTGCTAGATGGTGGCATTACCCCAAAACCAGATTATGGAATTGTCAAAGATGCAGTCCAGGTTGCAGCCTGTGTCTGATGGGAAACTGATAAAGTTTGCAAATTGTAACTCTAAATCTAAGATTTGTAAAACAAAATTGTTTAAGCTGTGTTCCAAGTCTCACATCTGAAACTTCTGCTTGATTATTTAAGAGGATCTTAATAGATTTCTTATGTATGCATCAGTGGCCTGTTGCCAGAAGTGAGCAGGACTGAAGGAGCAGGGCACATAGCTGGTTTCTTTGCCTGGTTAACATATTTCACACCTCTGGTCCATGCACAAGCACATCCTGGATATTTTAAAACTGGTGATATTTGTAGTAAGAATGAGTGTGTGTCCTTCTCAGTTTTTTGTCCCCAACTGTTGTGTGCCACACAGGTTATATGGCCAGTCTGAGGAGGCAGGAATGACTGGATGGTACGTGAAGGACAAAGCAACTTCTCTGCACTCCTTAATCCTTAAATACTTAAGCACATTGTGAAGAGAAAAATGAAGAACACTTAAGGCCATATATGCTTTTTCTCCCTAAAGTGTCTACCCCACTGCTTCTTGCAATGACATACCTTACACTCTTAGCTATATTTAAAATGCACCAAAGTACAGGGATTGTTTTTTAAGTACCATATTTAGTTCACACATTTTTTTTCTTTCAGTGATTTACTTAAAGCAGTTGAAAGGTACAGCAGTGGTTTTGCAGTAATGAAAATTCCACTTCTCGTAGCACTTGTGTCTTGGCTCAATAGTTGCTGATTTGCTCCAAAATATATTACATAATAAAATGGAATTTCCAGACAGAAGTGAGTATTTTACAGCTAGATATATATCAGGGAAAACCTCTTCTATGCTTTGGCTGCTAATTATATGCTATTGGTTCTTGACATAAATACTTTCAGAGTTACATTTATTTTTTGTTACCCTGAAGCCATTTAGGGAAGATTCTACCCTATAGCATACTTCTTCCATTTTATTTTCCACACTCCTGCTAATGAAAAATCTATCCTGTAACTGGAGCAAAGCAAAAATTTCTAATGAACAAGTAAATTCATACTCTAGACAAAGCAAGGTTTTCCCCCCCTCCCCTTTTTCCTAGAATTGCTTATCTGGGGGGTTAAAAAAGGTAATTCCAGAGGAAGGCATACTTAAAAATATCAGAAAGAAGCAAGCTTGGTGACCAGAACAATCCAATATTTGTTAGCTGATGGTATAGTAGAAAAGAATCATCATTCCTAAGGAACCATGGAAACCAGTGGAGTGTTCAAAGTTAAATATTGGAGCCATATGAAATTCAAAATTATAAACAAACACCCTATAAAAAATTAGTGGAACTTAATCAGATTTTGTATATCAAATACATCTAAGACATCCATAGGAGAAGAGAGAGGAAAATACTGATTTTACTTAATGTGAGAATCAATTATGTTTTAAACAAACATTTGTGTTGATCACAAGAAAAGCTGCTGCCTCTTCAAAATATGTCCCACTGAAGAGTCTTATAAGGAACATAGAAAAGCCAGAGCAAAATGGCATAATGTCAGCGTAAACGATCTAATTAACGGTATGAAATATGAAAGTAAAAATTAAAAACCCGAATGTACTCTAGCAAAATCACAGATTTCTGGCCTGAAGACTAATTAATTAACATTGGTAATAAGAATGAAATAAATCTACTACAAAATATTCAAGTTCAGGGCCTGGAAAAACTTATTAAAACTGCAATACATCATATATCAAATTGGAGTGTTACATAAAAGCAAATTTTACATCATCAGTTGAATCTTCTACGTTACCATCAGCCTTCAAATTAATTTTCTCACAAAAAGGATACTGTTACATTCTCATTGAGTGCTCTAATTTTTCTTACCGCAAACAAAAATCCATAAAGTAGGTTAGTTTCCTAAAAAATATGTTCTGATTATTCAGAAAACAAAAACAAAAACAAAAACATTGCTTTGGAATGATTTTCTCAGAAAAGCAACCGCAAGATACAAACTTAATGATAATAAAATCATCACCATTTTATTATATTATGAAATATATACCTTATAGCTGTAGAAAAAGTGTCATGCCAATAATTTTTCAAAGATTTTCAGGAAATAATTAAAATAGCAAAGGAGAAACTTAACTTCAAAAATTACGTGATCAATATCTGGTAGAAAAGAAACCAAGATATCTACATTTGTATCAGGAGTAAGACAATATTGGGGAGGAGAAAATCATGAAATTTTAAGAAACCTCACTTTATGATAAAACTTCAAACTTTCTGTATTTGTTTTTGTATTATTTATATTTGTCAATTTGATATTTCAACTTAAAGAAAAAACCCAAGTTTTCCTGGGTTCAGTATTTATATTGAGATCAGAGCTTTTTCTTACTTTATTAGACATCAGTTGACATCATTAGATTTCGTTTTTCCTGTTTCCATTTTCTTCAGGATACGCATCTTGTTTGAGATCCTTTTTCCTGGACATAATACTGCCGAAGGATCTTTCAGGACGTTCCCAGTGTGCAAGAAAGAGACTTGGCATTTCATCCTAGCCAAGGAGAAAAGATTCTCGATGATGAAAAGTCAACACTTTTCAACAGAACTTCCATGTGTAGCCACCCTCTCATACATCTTCTCAGTATAAGCAGCCACAGCAGGCTTTTAACAAGACTTTCTCAAATAGTTAACTTAAAATATATTTTATAAATTAAATTAGAATGTTCTAATCAACAGGAATTTATTCATACTACCAGCTCATTAGTTTAAATTAAATCTCCAGCTGTTCTAAGTACAAAGGGGCTGCATCAATTGGCATCTCTTGGAACAGGGCATTTTTTGATTGAGTAAAAATAGACATAATCCTTCAACTTGTGTGTGATAGAGAAAAGAGTTCTGGCCATTTTTCCACAGTTAATGCCATCTAAAATGCCATATAAATCTCTGGCATGCAATGTAATCTAAACATATATAACATAGTAAATAGGTCTCACTTTTAAAGAGGAACACTTTGAAATTGTACTTAATTAAAAAAATGAAAGTGCAATTCAGGGAATAGAGTAATGGAGCAACATTGGTAGATGCTGCTGGTGTGATCTCACATACAGATGACACAGTTTTTGCATCCTGTGCTCCATCTTTCCCCTTTTAACACATGGTACTGGCACAGGGGCCACGAGGAGGTCTGGGGGCTAACTACCAAGTTTATGTTTGTAATCCTTTCCTTGGGATTTACCATTATCTGAAATCTTCATGCATGAAACTAATGTACATTATTCTGAAAAACTCCATTTATAATAATAATGATGCTTTACAGACCCAGCAGCTCTCTGATTCTTTTAGGAAAACTTCCCTTTCTATAACCAGAACTCTGGTTCTCTTTTACCCCAAAGTGCGAGTCAAGAGGAAAGACTTTATTTTTAAATGTACCCAACTTCAAGTCCTCCTCACGTCTGAGAAATCTATCAAGAGTCCACACAGTGTTCCTTGAAAAAAGAAGTGAAACTTAAACATCTTTATGGGACCCAAATGTTTAATGCAAAATGATATTAAAAAAGAATGAGCCACAGAGATTTTCCATGCATGTTCCCATTCTTTCTCTTTTCGTTTGCTCTCATCCTTCAGCATAAGAGCCCGCTGGAAGAGCAGTCCTGCTGACGACAAATACAACACTGCATAGAATAATAAAAGTGCATTTACTTGGGATTAGGTCATGAATAAAGAATCTGAACTGAGCAAGTGACATCACATTTTG